TTAAGACCTTGTCACTTAGAGAATATTGTTCTGCAACAGAACTATTATTATCTGAGAGGAATAGAAATGATAACAGAGAAAAAAGAATGGTAAGAAATTTCAAAGCAGAGATGAAGAATGTGACAAGCTTATTAATTTGTAAATCTTGGTGTGTGAAGGGGAGACTACCATTATTGCAGCAAAACTAGCATAGAAGTGTAATGGACAGAACTACATATACATGCCAAAACAAAAGTTGTATTCAGGCATACAAGTAACTCAAATATATAGTTTCTTTCTGGATTCTCTTCCTGCTAAACCACTGCATAGTTGCAAAAATATGGGAAACTTCTGCCTCCACAGATTACTGCTACATGCTACATTGTCCCTAAGGGCCTGGTTCAAAGCCGATACTGGATAGGATCAAAAACATGCTTAATACTAAACAATGTAAAGAGCCAATATTTGATGCTAAGGTATGGCTGGGAGCATAGAAGTTCTCCTGCTGGTTCATTCAACAAAAACAATCAAAATATGAAATTATTTTCTACTTCTTTCTGGAGTACAGCAGAAACCCTCCATTCCATTTTTCTTTTTTCTTTTTTTTTTTCAGTTACTAAACATTTCTTGATAATTTAGTATGCAAGAATGCTTAAGGCTTAATACAACATTGGATGGCTTGTTTCCCTATATGCAATCCATCAGCAGCAAATCTTAATCCATGTTTGCCTGACTTTAATTTGGGAACTTCCAGCAGCATCCAAATATTACATGAACTTATTTTCAGCTTGCTTACACTTCAACTCTTCAAGGTGTTCCTTTTTCAAATTCCCCCCTCTGATCACTAATCCATTGCCTAATTTTATGCAGTCCGGTTCACATATACACCCAATAAGTAAACTGACATTAATTATCAAGTTATTTTTCTACAACCATTCCATGATCAATCAACTCTTTGCTTCAACACAATTAAATTTCATGCCTCAAAATTTGATATGAGGAAAACAACACGACTATACAATCCCATGCCATAAATTTCCTGTCAGAAAGATAACACTCACTGGCAATTTACCATTATTACCAAAAATTCACATGCAAACATAGAAATGTAGGCATTCCAGCTCCAAATCAAGATCATGCGAATAACTCGAAACCAAAATCCAGCAAAATCTTCTCACAAGATAAACATAACATCATATTGCAAACATCCCGGCCAAAATTCAAGGACATGCACAAAAATTAACAGATGAATCTCCAATTCTGCATACAAAAATTAACATGCATAGACGTGTAAATCAATGCACACCTTTCCTTTCGTTCTTGGATGTGTTTCATCTGGGCCTTGTAGTGATTCTCTATGAACTGCTTGGCGACGGCCACCCTCTCCATGGTCAAGCTGGAGCCGATTTGCCTATCCTCCTCCTCCTCCTCCACCACCTCTGCCGCCATCGGACCCACCTCGTCCTCCCCCTCCCCCTCCCCCTCCTCTACCGCTTTATCTTGATTCTCCATAGCAACCTTCTCTCCTCCAAAACAGAAAATAGAGAAAATCTCTTCCTCTCTCTCTCTCTCTCTGTCTGTGGTTTTCGTGATTGCGACAACGAAGCAGAGACGCTCTCCTCTCAGGTGGAGAGACCCGAAAATTCCAAAAACCCCCGATTCAACGCGCCGGGTTTCTCTAGATGACACGTGGAAAATAGTTATTAGTTTGGGACCCACGCAGTCAAATCTGTACATCGGAACCCATGTGCGGAGTCTGCCACGTTGGATCTGCCGAGGGTGGGGACCACTAACTCGAGGAAAATCAATGGTCAGCGGTTAGATGGGACCCCATGGAGGATGATCAACGGTTAAATAGTGATTTCATCTTTTTTTGTGGAATTTTTCTTCTGTTTGCTGACAGACAGCGCTACGGACATGGGACCTACTATGGTGCATTTCGTTGTAGGATAGATTTGTGTGTGACGCAAACGTCATCACTGAGATCAACTTTTGTGTCAGATCTGAGTTGGTGATGATGATAAGGTAATGAACCGTCGTTTTACACTAAAAGTCGGAGCCACGTAGCGTACGGTATTGGATCAGATCAAAGAAACCGCATTTGAAAACTGTTGCTTCATCACTTTTTTTTTTTTTAATGATATAATCAAAATTTTTTTATATTATTTTTTTATATAATAAATTTAATACTTATTTTTATATAAATTAATTATAAAAAATATAATATATATTTTTAAAATATAAAATAAAAAAATTATTTTTTAATAGATGTAATTTAATTTTTTGATAAAAATTTAATAATTTATATGAATAATAATTAAAAATATTTTTTATTGTACAAAGTTTTTGTCGAATATTTTTATTTGATAAAATTTTTTTAATTATTATTTATATAATATATTAAATTTTTATTTAAAATTTATATTCAAAAAGTTAATAAGTTAAATTAAATTTACTAAAAATGAAGGAAGAGAATACAATTCTAACCTTAATTAATATTGAAAAAGAGTAGATTTTTATTTACTAATTAATTATTTAATTAAAATGATTTACATAATATTAATTGTAAAATTAATGTTTATTTTTTTTTTTTTTAATATCAATTAGTATTAACAAATATTATAATTATTTCTTAATTTATGTTTTAAAGATATAAATTATAAAATCTCAATTATTTTTATCTAAACGAAATGAAAATAATTACTAAACAACTTAAATCAATCATAAATAAACTTTATTGTTCCTAATTTATGTAGAATTGCCTTCAATTATTGCACCCTTACCTAGAAATTCCAAATTCTATTTCAATGCGCACGTAGCAATGTGGCTTACGCAACGGATGATTCAAGTCCTCTAAGACCGATGATTTTATTTTATTATTTTTTCACCCTTAGTTACTTAATATTGTAAATATACCATTATAATATATAATTAAATAAA